ACATATCACCAGATGTCAGAACATATCGTATAAAAGCATATAATTAAATTACAATAATGACATCTTTACAGTACTATCACAAGAATAGATAGGCTAATGGAACAAAAAAAGCAGCTAGAAACAAACTGGTAAACTTGAGAATTAAACACAAGACTAGGGGCGTATGGGTGGCTCAGTCAGTTAAGCATCTGTTAAGTATACAACTTCAGCTCAGGTCATGATCTCGTGGATTTTGTGAGTTCAAGTCCTGCCTCACGCTCTGCACTGCCAGTGTGGAGCCTGCTTGGGATTCTCTCTCTCCCTCTCTCTCTCTATGCTCTGCCCCCACTTGTGCGTGTGCCCTCTCTTTCAAAATAAATAAATAAACTTAAAAAAAAGACAAGATTAAAAAATAAGTGTCACTTAAAAAAGTGGGGGAAAGAATGGTACATAAAACTGGGGAAGAATGGTACTGGCAAAACTAGTTGGGCAGGTAGGATAAATAACTACTTTAGAATCTCATCTCATATGATGCATTAAATAGTTGACAGACCACACAAACCAGAAGGAAATACAAGTACATATTTGACTTCTGGATGGAAAATGACATCAATAAAATAGATAACAAAAGGAAAAACAATTGGACTAGTTAAACCTGATGAAATTGTGCACATCTAAAACCATTATAAACACAATTAACAGTCAAACTAGAGATGTGGAAAATCCACAATACCTACAACTAATCAACGGTTAGCATCTGTACTACAAAAGGAACTTACAGAAATAAGACTAATAATTCAATGGAAAAATTTACAGGGACTACCAATAATTTACAGAAGAGTAAATACGAAACACTAATATATGAAAAAAATTTATATGAGTAAATCAAAGAAAACTAAAATGAGATATTTTTTGCTGAATAGAAAATACTTAAAAATTTAGAAATAGCTAATGCTGAAAGAGTCCAATGGGACAGACATTTTCAGAAACTGCTGATGGAGTATAGATTGGTATGCTCTTTCTGGAAAGTAATTGGCCACTGTGAATCAAGATTTTCAACATGTTCACATCCTTTCAACAGGTATTCCATTTCTAGAAATTGTCAGGAATGTGTACAGAGTGATATATCTATACAGTAATCAGAACGTTATGACAACAAAATGTGCAAAAATAATCTAACTGCCTAACAGAGAATGGCTGAGTAAAATGAAAGCACATCTTAAAAGATTAATATTATATAGCAGTTAAAAATAACACTTATAGGGGCGCCTGGGTGGTTCAGTTGGTTGAGCATCCAAATCTTGGTTTCAGCTCAAGTTATGATCTCACAGTTCGTGGGTTCAAGCTCCGCACTGGGCTCCATGCTGGGAGTGTGAACCCTGCTTGGGATTCTCTTTCTCCTCTCTGACCCTCCCGACTCAAAATAAATACATAAACTTAAAAAAAAATAACATTTACAAAATTTTAACAAAGTACAAGGATATTAATAATACAATACTAAGTAGGGAAAAAGATAAAAGCTGAGGAAGATACTCCAAAATGTTACTATTATCTCTGGGTAACTAAACAGTTATTCTTAAACTTTTCTTCAATTTCAAAAATTTTCCATAATCAAAATATATTGGTTATTTTTAGGGGGGAACCTCTTAAGAAATTAGGCTTATCTACTTGCGAAGTCAGACATAATCCATCACATGTTAAAATGACTGACAATGTTAAAATTTAACAAGCATGGTTTTACATACAGTACACTTACCACACAGAAAACCAAATAGTCGAATTTCAAGAAATCTTAACTTTAAGAAATGTTGGTATAGTAAGACCACTTTCCTATTGTAAGTCACTTAAAAAATCATTCAGGGGCTGAAATAATGCAGCCTGTTATTTCTTCAATTTCAGTATATACAGTCAGTATGCTTATCATGGTGCTTGGCAGTATGCTGCATTGAACGCATTTTATCTATTATCACAGTAACAAATACAACCTAAACTCTCATAACAATAGTAACATTTTGACAGCAGTTCTAATCTATACTATGGTATGTTATCCTGACAGCAGTTCTAATCTATACTATGGTATGTTATCCCTACAAAATTAATTGTTTTTTCAAAGTTCATTTATTTGAAGTAGAGAGAGCGTGGGAGCAGGGAAGGGATAGAGAGAGAGGGAGAGAGACAATTTCCAGCAGGCTCTGCATTGTCAACACACAGCCCAATGCAGGGCTTGAATTCATGAACCGTGAGATCATGCCTGAGCCAAAATCAAGAGTTGGACGCTTAACTGACTGAGCCACCCTAGGTGCCCCCTACAGAATTAATTTTTATTAGAATTGCATATAGATCTTCCCTTATGATGGGGTTATGTGCCCTGATAAATCCACTGTAAATGGAAAATATTGTAAACTGAAAATGCATTTAGTACACCTAGTCAGTCTACTTAACATCATAACCTTGCTTACCTTAAATGAGCTCAGAACATGTACAGTAGCCTAAATTGGGGAAAATCATTCACCACAAAGCCTATTTTATATGAAGTATTGAATATCTCATATAATTAATTGAATACCATACTGATGGTGAAAAACAGAATGGTTCTAAGTATACTGGCTGTTTACCCTCATGATTGCATGGGTGCCTGACAGTGTACAGAGTATTGTATGGCAGGGTACTGCTAGGCCGAGGAAAAAGTTCAAAATTTGAAGTGTGGTTTCTATTGAATGCCTATTGCTTTTGCACCATCTTAAAGTTGAAAAATCTAAGTCAAACCATCGGTACAAAGCTGGCCAAAACTTGTGTTACTCTATCTTATGAAAAAATACAATCTTTTCATTAAAGTACAGTTTTAACTATAAATAATTTCACTGTAAAAGTATCCACAGAGTAGTCATCTAAAGTATCATCTCAAAGCATTAATATTTTGAAGAAAAACTGCTAACTCGTACTTTTTTTTATTCACCTGAAGATTTAAACATTTAAGAAACACTAATTTGTGGAGTTGGGAGTGAAGTCTTCCTTTTATTGTGTAAATACTCTCAAGACAGTAATTTAAACATGTGAGCTAGTAATACAAACCTAGTAGTACGAATCAGGTAACATCCCTACCTTGATACTGGTTTAATTGATAAAACTGTTCTGTTTCTTGAATACTGGCTTTAAAACTTTGCTGAACTGCAATAAACCATTTTCAAGACAGTAACAAAATAAGCTTTTTTTCTGCTCTTCAGATCTATGGAAGCCTTCATTAAATATGCAGGTATTTGTTTCTCTGACAGAATAAGGATGGTGAGTGTGACAATGTTCATATATAAATGGTATGAGTTAGTGTCTGAATCTGTGGTCACAAGAAATGCTATGGCAAAAATGAACTATTGGGATGTCATCAAAAGAAAAAGCTGCACAGCGAAGGAAACAATCAGCAAAACTAAAAGGCAATTGATGGAATGGGAGAAGATATTTGCAAATGACATATCAGATAAAGGGTTAGTATCCAAAATCTATAAAGAACTTATCAAACTCAACGCCCAAAAAACAAATAATCCAGTGAAGAAATGGGCAAAAGACACGAATAGACACTTCTCCAAAGAAGACATCCAGATGGCCAACCAACACATGACAAAATGCTCAACATCACTCATCATCAGGGAAACACAAAACCACAATGAGATACTACCTCACACCTGTCAGAATGGCTAACATTAAGAACTCTGGCAACAACAGATGTTGGCGAGCAGGTGGAGAGAGAGGATCTCTTTTGCACTGCTGGTGGGAATGCAAACTGGTGCAGCCACTCTGGAAAATAGTATGGAGGTTCTTCAAAAACTTAAAAATAGAACTACCCTACGATCTAGCAATTGCACTACTAGGTATTTATCCGAGGAATACAGGTATGCTGTTTTGAAGGGACACATGCACCCCAATGTTTATAGCAGCACTGTCAACAATAGCCAAAATATGGAAAGAGCCCAAATGTCCATCAATGGATGAATGGATGAAGAAGATGTGGTATATGTATATATACAATGGAGTATTACTCAGCAATCAAAAAGAATGAAA